CTTCCTGGAATTACCTCTTCCAGGGAGCCCTTGGGTCTCTCTATTTAGACACACCAGAACTGGGGCCTTGGTCCTGGGAACCACCCTCCAGTGCACGTAGAGATTGGGAAGATGCTGGGAAGCTGTGCCCAGGGGCTGGGAGACTGAGCTATTCCCTGCTGTGTGTCTAAACCATCCCCTCCCCCTCAAGCCCTGCCCTCACTAGACAGAGCTGTGGGTGTGCTTCCTTCTGGAAAAAGATGGATAGCTATTCCCATTTTACAGGGGAATAGCTCCACAGTGTTGCCCTTCTGCTCCTCAAATCATCCAACCCTCCATCATTGGTGTGCAGTGCCAGGAGACTCTGCTGGAAAGGGGGTAAAGGAATATGGTCAATGGCTCCAATGATAATAACGTCTACCATTACTGAGTGCTAGGTGCTACCACAGTACATGGCAGAGCACTGTGGCTCCCAAGAGGTGAAGTGAAGGTGATGCATTCCAGAGTCCCAGAGGACTGGCTAAAGCCAGCACAGCTGTGCTGTTTGCAGCTGGACGCTGAGCTGTGCCACTTGGGTTTGTGTGGCTTCTCACCTGGTCCTCCCTATTGAGAACTGGGTGGACTGAGTTCCTTTCTGCAAGGGAAAACTAAGAAGTCCACGTAGCAAGTAGTAAGAAGCAGGCCTGGACATGAACCAGGCCAGCACAAGGGTCTTTGGCATCTCACACCTGCTGTGGCCACGAGCTAGCTATAGGAAGTCTCCAAGAGGTGGCAGGTCCCCCTCCAGGCTGGAGACCTGCAGAGGCACAGCTTCTGTGACCACTTTGCCCCCCAGCATATCCTTGTCCCCCCTTTTTTTTGAGGTAGTGGGATTTGAACTCAGGGCCTACACCAGCTCTTTTCTGCGATGGGTCTTTTCGAGATAGGGTCTCCCGAACTATTTGCCCAGGTTGGCTTGGAACTTGATCTTCCTGAGAAGCTGGGATTACAGGCCTGAGCCACTGCGCCTGGCTCTGGGCTTCTGACAAGGACCCACTGCGGAATTAGGGTCCATCTGCTCTGATCTCAAGCCAGCTTCTCTCTTCTCAGACCCTCAGCTTCTTCAATTGGTGGGAAGCCCACTGTGCTCAGGGGGCCCTCCATAACCTGTGCGGAGTTTTGGGGAAAGCGCTGGGTCTCCAGTCCCTGGATGAGCTTTCAGAATTTCACACGCACAGGACCAGTCCCCTCAAAGAAACACTGCTGACATCTTGAATGCTCCATCTACCTTACTTCCGTACTGTGCAACGAAAGGAATTTCTCCAAAACCCTGGAATGTGCATGCCCCATTCCCACTCCACACCGCACAGGTAAGAAAAATGAGCTCAGAGAGGAGCAGCCTTTTGCCCGAGGTCACACAGCGAATGTCTGGTGGGGGTGGGGAGTGTAGTTTGTGGAATTCCTGGCGGATGATGGCGCCCGCTTGTCTGCCCGCTTCTGATACCCGGGTTCGGGAGAATAGGCCGCTAACAAGCGGCCCATTAGAAGGAATTGTCACTCCTCTGGGAGCGAGGTTGTCCCATTAGGGCGAATTGTCATTCCTCCTGGAGCGAGGTTGTCCCGGCTCCGCGCAGGCTGAGTGCCGGGGCCGAGAGCAATTAACGCGGCTCCGGCGCGGGCAGCCGCCTCTGCCCCGGGCAGCGGGGGCGGGGCGCCCGGCGCGGCTGGAGCCGGTCACCCGGCGCAGCCCCTTCCCCCGGAGCCCGCCTTTCATCTCCCCGCGCCTGGCGCCTGCCCGCAGCCCTGGCCCGTCTACAGCCCCCTTACTGCCCCTCCCCCGGCTCCTCCTAGCCTCTGGGATCCTGCGATCAGTCCTTGGGGTTTCAATCGCCGCGCCCTGCGCGCACCGTTCAACAGTTTGCAAGGAGTGGCTCCGCACCGCATCTCGGGGCGCGCGTGCGCGGCGACTGCAGAAGTGGGCCCGATGGGTGGGAAGTGCCTGGGGACCCGGGCAAGGCGGAGGACTGATATTCAAGGGAGAATTCTCAGGTTTCTTACCTCCTTCTTGCGTGCTTTGGACAGCGCACTGAGCGCTTCCAAGTCTAAGGCTTTTCATCTGTAAAATGTGAGAATTGATCTCCGCCCGATGTGGTGTGTTGGAAGGGACAAATGAGGTCCGGGAAAAGTCCGGGTTCTTAGGCGTTGTGCAGAGTTGATGCTTGCTGGTGATCCAACTTGGATTGGAGCCCCACTTTTCTGCTTGCAAATACTGCAGCTTGGTCACTGTGGCTCTCTCACCTGGGAGCTAACATATACTCAGTGCCTCCTACGTGTCAAACCCAATAGTCGGCTAAGGGACTCTACCTAAACCAGGACACTTTTCGGGCGAGTCAAATTCTCAGCCCTGGGGATTATTACAAAGAACTTGTCGTGAGGTCGGTGAAAGCGGGCGATACCCCTCATTTTTGGATACCTGCTACAAAGTCGATGAATCGTTATTGCTTTGGATATGCAATAATGCTATTTAAATTGACCCCCTATACCTACTAGTTACTTATGTAAATCATTTAATTCCCACAAGAACCTGGTAGGAGTGATTTTGGAGATTAAAGAAGAAAAAAAAAAAAGGTGGCTGCGGGAGGTAAAGTAGGGTGCCCAAGTCACACCCCAAGAATCAGTGATTAAAATAATCCTAAAGGCGCAGCAGCAAAGCGGGGGAAGTTGTTTCTAAATTCTAGCTTTTGCTTTGCAGAAATAAGACCCTTTTTCTCCCTCCAGTTGTCTCCCTCACTGGGTTGGGAAGGCACCTGGCAGAGGGCACGGTGAGCAGGTTGGTAGCCTCGCTGGCCATCTCTCCTATCCATGGCCAGAGCATGGCACCCTGGTTTCTTTTTATTTCTCCATTTTCCTAATTCTGGCTTTATCATTTTCATTTGCTGTATGAACAGTTAGTGAGGGGGAAGTTTATTAAAATTAAAGAGCGCTGATGGGATTGATTTAGTTTATAAATTCCCAGGAATGAGCCCGTGTGCCCCTAAGCTGACAAATATTAACAATGAGTTTTCTGGAACAACTATAGAACATTGGCTGTGTTCAGCCCAACTGAAAATTGCACCCTTTTGTACACGTTGGCAGCAGAAGACTAAACGAATTTCAGATTTGGGTCCAAAGTATGTAGCCCACACCTTGCATCTAGAAAGCAGTAGAATTTAATCTGGATTTACCTGTACTGTATTTGAGATGTATATCAAGCCAACTAAGATCAGGTATGACTCAAGGGGAGAAGCCATACATCTTGATATCGTTTTTTTTTTTTCTTTTAACTTTCTCTGAATTTCCAGTCTTTATTATTTATTTATTTATTTATTACCTGTACTTGTTGTACCTGTGCCTTGTCGTGGGAGAAAAGATCCAAAGGTTTTTAGAAAATCCACGTTTAGTGCTTTTTTTTTACCTTCTAATGTTTTTCAGGACCAAACTGAATTAACTGGTTAGTGAAGATTCAGAGGACCAAACCAGTTTTTAATTCTCTAAGATTCAGATAATACTTCTTCGGGCTCTCTCGGGCCATGGCAGTTTCATTCCAGGCAAAGGTTTGGGGTGAAGGAAACAGGGTATGAGACAGGTACTCTCTTCAGAGTTTATATGGTCTGTGGGTTAGGTTTCTAAGACTCTTGAACTAGGAGATAGCTTCCAAGCCTTGGTCGTTTGAAATTTTTGAAACAATGTCTAGGAAGAATCTAGTATGTGCAGATTCTGAGCTGAGCGACCTCCTATTTACCTTGTCACTCTCAAAAATAGAAAAAAGCCGCCGCAGCCTGCAAAGATCATTTGAGGCCATCTGTCTGGGTATGGAGGCCTGCGGTGCCACGGAGAGACTCAAGGCCTCTGAGCTCTCAAAATTCGCTTTTCCCTTCCCCACACTGAAACAATCATCACTGAGGCTTTGGGACGCAGTTACTGAGGGTATAATTTGGCTTGGATAGAGATATCTATTTTGTTTAATTTAAATCAAAGTACTCAGGCCTGGGCTGTGCAAACGTGGATCCCGGTATTTCTGAGACGCGCAAGGGGGAGGAAGACACTAAACCTCATAGTTGCCCTTTCCCCGGTCCCCATCACCCTCCAAGGTAAACACTGGCACTTAAACACATACGACAAACACAAGCTCAAACAAACTCACGGACTACATTTACTGGAAAAGGTAAGCGCCTGAGGTCGCCCAAAGATGAGATTCAGGGGACAAGGCACGAGTTTCCAGTTCCTAAAAGTACGCCGGTTTTACAGAGAGGAAAAGATGGAACCACTGATTTAAGCTTTCCTCTGTGAATTATTTGGGAGACAGCAGCCCTTGGCCACCTCTCGGGCTGTCTGGGGACCCCTTTGGTAGAGGAACGAGAGTTATAATAATAGCGGATGGTGTTGAGCGTTTGTTAATGACTAGATACTTCTAAGCGCCATGCCTGCGTTTTTTTTGTTGTTGTTGTTTTGTTTTTTTTTTAAAGTGGAGATGCTGGCTGGTGTTTTCCAATGCTGACTACTAGGGTTGTAAAGTTAGTCTAATTGTGGCTCATAGTAGGAGTTTTATAAATATTCCTGCAATGTTGGCTTCAGATTTTAAACGTATTTAGGCAGTAGGAGTGTGGGAGTGCGATGGAAACGAAGTACCTTTTAAAGAGGGGTCAAAGAGAAGAAAAGGGACCCGGCGAACTTCCTCTTTAAATAATCGGCCTTAATTACGTCTTGGACTTTTCAGTTTTGGCGTGATTATAACCCTTGAGGGATCGCCTAATAACAACTCTGCTGACTGCTCCTGTAATTAACTCCTAATTTTTTTCAAACAGGGGAAGAAAAAAAAAAAAAAAAGGTCCCAGCCTCTTCTGGACTAGCCAATCAGAGGTGAGCATCTGTGGCGTCAGCGCCAAGGTCCGCGCGGATTGGCTGATCTGAGTCTCCCACTTCCCCTAGGAGGACAGGCTCGGCTCCCAGCGCGCCCCTCCCGTCTCCCCCCCAAAAAGTTTGAGTCGCTGCTGCCCGGCTGCCAAGCGGAGTCGCGCGCCGGGAGCTACGTAGGACAGAGAAGTCATGGCTTCTCCGTCCAAAGGCAATGACTTGTTTTCATCCGATGAGGAGGGCCCAGCGATGGTGGCCGGGCCCGGCCCAGGGCCTGGGAGTGCCGATGGGGGTGCCGAGGAGCGCCGCATCAAGGTCTCCAGCCTGCCCTTCAGCGTGGAAGCGCTCATGTCGGACAAGAAGCCGCCCAAGGAGGCGTCCCCATTGCCGGCCGAAAGCGCCTCGGCAGGGGCCACCCTGCGGCCACTGCTGCTGCCTGGACACGGCGCCCGGGAAGCGCACAGTCCTGGGCCTCTGGTCAAGCCTTTTGAGACCGCCTCGGTCAAGTCGGAAAATTCAGAAGACGGAGCAGCATGGATGCAGGAGCCCGGCAGATACTCGCCGCCGCCAAGTGAGTGCGCACCGGCGTCGGGATCGGGGGTAGTGGAGGGAGGGGTGCGTGGGGTCTTGAAGGGAGCTGGGCACGGGTGTTCCAGGATGGAGGTACCGAGACCTCTGTGCATGCACTGGACCCCCGGAAAGTGAGCCTAGCAATTCTTGATGTCTGGAGTTCAACGCTCCATCCGCATCCAAGACACCCTCTGGGTGATGTCGGCGCTGCCCTTGCCAAGGGTCCCCTGAGCTCTACCGTGTTCAACACAAGTTCCGACTCGCTGGTTTTTAAAGAGGGAACTCGGACTGGCTTTTTGGGATCCTGCACTTGTAGGTTTCTGGAGCCTTTAGCCCTGTGGCCCGGTCACTTGGCAAATTGTCTGTTTCACTGCCTGGGGAGTTGGGGGGGGGCGGGATCCACGTTTGATGAACACTTGAAGTATGTGCCAGAAGCAAGGCGGTTGTCGTTTAGCCTTTGAAGACTCACACACAGCCCTTTGAGGTGCGCCCCCATTTTAAAGATGAGCTAACTGGAGTCTAACCAGACACTGAGTGGAAGTCGTTAGCATTTGTGGAAGCTGGGTCCTATGAAGGGATGGTGGCAGACACTGATGTGCAAAGGAAACTTCTGTCCCTGCTGCCGCCGGCACCTTGTTGGCTGGATTCTGAGATTCGCTGAGAGCGGGCTGGGGCCAGGCATGCGGGCTCAGCTTGGGCTCACAGTAATAATTAACAGCATTCCGATAGGGCTTGAGAATTTACGAAGTGGTGTTCATTAGCTCACCAGATCTGGAGCAACGCTACAATCCCACAGTGTAGGTAGGGACACACGCAACCTGTGGCCACCTTCTCTTTCAGACACCTGATGCTTTTAAGAGGACTGCGGACTTGCTTGTCCCAAGTCACCAACAGCCGCTGCATTGGGCACAGGATCTAGTATCTGAGCCCTGTTCCTTTACTCAGTGTGCTGACCATCTTTTTCCCCTAGGTCAGGTCCAGGTCCCCACCTACATTCCTCCAAGGAGGCTATGTGGATGTCTTCTCCAGACTTGACATAGGCCCTGGGTTCCTTTCTGGTTTTGGAGAAGCCATTCCCTGCAGCTCTTTTTAGTGCTATCTCTTAGCTTTGGACATTTTTCTACTCTCACTTCTCTCCCTCCCCTCCCCTCCCTTTAAGAAGGGGAAGGGAGGGAGGGAGCTGCAGAGAGATTTTCTCCAAAGCTGGAAAGGGCAGCTTTCTTCCTTTCAGCCCTCCAGACTGGAGATGCACAGTATTTTGTGAACAAAACAAGGCCATATATGCACCAGGCGTCAGTGGCTGTCCCTTCTGGCTGTCTCTCCACCCCGTTGGAAATTTTGAAAGACTCAAAGGGCGCAGAGATTAAGGACTCGAAGAATTTAAACTAAGGTTTGCACAGCGCTTTACAGCACTTTTCACCCGTTATCTGATCTGGTCTCTGTGTGGCAGCAGCGGTCTCTTGTTAACAGATAAGGACATTTCCACAGAGCTCTGAGACATCAGCACTTTGGGCCTGAGGAACAAAGCTTGGGAACATTTTTTTCTTTTTTTACTGGTCACCTACCAAGTGACAGATGCGCCCTGGGCACTCCACCATGTCGCACTCAAAACCAGCCTGAGAGATGGGTCTTATTTTTTTTTCACTTTATTGAAAGTGAAAATAGAGCTCAAAACATTAAGAGTCTTAGCTTGTTTAACAAATTTGTAGTGTTTGTGTATTCTTAGGCCTGGGGCACTGACCTGCAGCAAATCCAGGATTCTGTCCTTAAATGGAATGATGCCCCAAGGTCAGAAATCCTGGCATCCTTAGGCCTGGTGGGTCTGGGAGGGCAGTTCCCACTAGCCTTGAAACCGCCTCGGCAAAGCAGTCTTGGGCCATGGATATCTTTCCAAGCAAATCAATGGAGATTCTCAGAAAAAAATTCATCTTAAAACATAAGTCACTGTTGGTGCTTGGGGCCTGCAGGTGGTGGTGGGAGCCCAGTTATCTTGTTTGAGCAGGGGTGGGCCCAGGGAGCACCGGGGGAACATAGCCTGGAGCTGGAGTGGGAGGGAGCGACCTGCCTGGGCCTCCTTTTTGTTATTCAGAGGAAGTAGGATAGATGTTGTTTTGCCTGGTATAATCGCATCCTTCCACAGGCTGGTTTAACTGGGGATGGGGAAGAGGGTGGGGGAGTGGTGCCCTGAGAGGGAGGCCCTCCTAGTTTTATGGCTCTCATACACATGTTGGATTCCCCTGGTCTGAATTTCATAATTCTGATACAGCCCCACAGAGCAGACTGAGTTGCCCTGCTCAGGAACCAGAGATTGTTCTATGAATTTGGTGCCAGAACTCAAAACCTAGGGTTCTCCGGAGAGTCACAGTGGTGTCAGCTTACAAATTAAGAAGAGGGCTCGTCGGCTCTTGTGCTCTCAGGTTTATTTAGGAATTAGCATATGCAAAAGCTAGACTTTACTGACAGTCTCGCCCAGGTCCCGCTCTCATTTCTGTTTTGATCACAGAACCTACCTTTATATTTTTCATTTTTATTTTTATTTGCCAGTAAAGAGGTGGTTAATAATAAGATACTAAGAAAACCCATCTCTTGTTGGAATTGGAGGCTGGATTGGGACTTATGGTACGACACTCTCAAGTATGAAGTGTAAACTCTTTCTTTAGTTACCAAAGTAACTAAACAAGAAATGCGACATTCTCCCATGAGTACACTGGAGTTATTACTGTGGCTACATTTGGAAAATTAGCATAGCTCATAAAAGCCAAGTGCAGAAAATTAATTGTTTAGCATTCTATTCCTGCAGCTCTACACTCCCACACCCTCCTCCCCCCCGCCCTTGAGGAAAACAAGCCCAGAGTTCCTTGATGCTGTGGGTCACCAGGATGCCATACCCCTGTGACTTCCTATAATTGAATCCATTTAAAATGCAGAGTCTGGATGCTGTGGCCATACCTTTATTTTGCTTGTTATTCCCCACTTCTGAATTCCAGCGACAAACTAATCATTTACACATTTGGCCCTAAACCCTAGAATGGATGAAGGAGTTACATGTCATCATGTGCTCTCAACTTGGAGGCGGCCTGATTTCCCCTGACATGTACATTTATGGGCGAGCTAATTTTTCCCTCCATCTTCGTAAGTTTATATTACTGAAGCACCCGCCAAGAAACTTATCCACATCCAGATCTGCAAAGATGATGTTGGGCTTTTATAATCTGTAGAGTGGATGGAATGGCAGCTGTGTGGTTGTTTATTACACAGGTCTGCCCCCACATCCAGAGATGCTATTAATTTACCACAGACCTCATCTGCACTATTAGCCTTCATAAATAGGCTGATGCAAGCCAACTTTTCCTGGTTCAGAGGGGACCAGGGGAAATGGCTAAGCCAGTGGCTAAGGCCCTTTGCATTTTCCTTCTCTTGTATGATCCCACCCCAGCCCCCTTTAAAGACAAGAGAAAGTAAGTCAGGAAGTTCTATTTCTCAGAGAACCCTCTGGCTCTCTTGATTTATAAAGGGCTTTGTTCGTGAGTTGCAGTTCTAGTTTCTTTTTCTTTGCAGTGCTGGGGTTTGAACTTAGGACTTACATCATGAGCCACTCCACTAGCCCTTTTTTTGTGAAGGGTTTTTTTGTATAGGTGGAATTATTTGCCCAGGCTGGCTTCAAACCTCGATTCTCCTGAGTAACAAAGATTACAGGCGTGAGCCACCAGCGCCCAGTCTAGTTTCTTCAAAGCTGTTTGGTTTCCATATAGAAAGTTCCATGACCCTATTAAAATTCTCAAACTGAATTCTTTTTATTCTTACATTATTGTACTGGGCCAAACTGGTTTTTTTAAAGCAGCAATGCAACCATTTAAATTTGATTTGTCTCTATCGCCCCCCTCCCCACACACAAAACACATGGTTATGACAGAGGTACCTTTTTGAAAGATGAACCAGTGTGTAAGCTAAGTGCTCTCAGCTAAGAGGGGGGGGCCTGCGTAGAAAACCTGAAGAAAACACCACTTTGGCTAACTGATGGCCCTCTCTGTCCTTCTTGCAGGGCACATGAGCCCCACCACCTGCACCCTAAGGAAACACAAGACCAATCGGAAGCCCCGCACCCCCTTCACCACGTCCCAGCTCCTGGCGCTGGAGCGCAAGTTCCGCCAGAAACAGTACCTCTCCATCGCAGAGCGCGCCGAGTTCTCCAGCTCTCTGAACCTCACAGAGACCCAGGTCAAAATCTGGTTCCAGAACCGAAGGGCCAAGGCCAAAAGACTACAGGAGGCAGAACTGGAAAAGCTGAAAATGGCTGCGAAACCTATGCTGCCGTCCGGCTTCAGCCTTCCCTTCCCCATGAACTCACCCCTGCAAGCAGCCTCCCTTTACGGAGCCTCCTACCCTTTCCATAGGCCTGTACTTCCCATCCCGCCCGTCGGACTCTATGCCACGCCTGTCGGATACGGCATGTACCATCTGTCCTAAGGAAAGCCAGACCCACAGACTCCACGAAGGCTGTGCCAACCTTGTACTCCTGCGGTGCAAACCACGTGCCACCCTAAGCGACCCGGCCCAGAGGGCCACTGCGTGACATAAGTGTGAATTTGTTCTTTAAGTGGGAGGCACCAAGCCCCATTTCCTTGGCCTAATCTTTCAAATGCCCCCTCCTCCTCACAAAGATTGGCTCTGACAATTTTTATGTATAAATATATATAATAAAATATAAGACATTTTTATATACCAGACATAAAAATTCAAATTATTTTGAAAGGCAAAATTTATATTCCTATATGCATTTTTCTATATATCACCTGTTCTTGTGTTTGTGGTACTGGGATTTGAACTCAGGGCCTATACCTTGAGCCACTCCACCATCCTTTTTTTGTGAAAAGGATTTTTTTTTTCCAGATAGGGGTCTTGAGAACTATTTGTCCAAGTTGGCTTTGAACCATGATCCTCCTGATCTCTGCTGCCCAAGTAGTTGGGATTACATGAGCCACCAACACCTGCCTTAAAAGAGACTGCAGAAGTCTCTTGTGTTTTCTTAAATGGGGAGACATTATTTGCAAAACTTGTTAACATTTGGTGATTTTTGATAGGACGGTTGACTTTTGCTTGCGGAAAACAAATACTAGAATTAGACACGGTACACAGAGGACGTAGATATGGAGAGAGTCTTCCAAGTAAAGGAGGATGCATAACATGTTTGCATTTTATGTGCAAAAGAAAAAACACTACCATGTTTGGCCATCCTTTTGCTCCCTCTCTCCATATTACTAAAATTCTGGGGGTTTTTTTTTGTAATTTCAGTAAGAAGGAGGAGAACAATCCTGAGGCTGCCTCAGGGTAAAGGCAGAAAGTAGGAAAACATACTAACTTCTTTTAGGGCTAATTTCACGTAATTGGAAGAGTAAAAAGTGAAAAGATGTCTATGTACATCAGTCCTCACACATTGAAAAGGTGATGTTTGGGGGAAAATGTAATTTTATACTTAAAAATGAGTATTTTGTAACCATTACCTATATGCTAAATATTCTTAAAAAACAACTGAAAGAGTCAGGAAGGGGAAAAATCATGCCTTGTTCGTGTGTGTACCTATTGTATGTGCTGAACTTATTAGGAAATTTATATGCTTTTAACATGCTGGGGACAGGACTAAGTCATCTTTTGATTTGTTGAAAATGGTGTTGTCAAACAGCCCTACTAGCTCTCCAGTATTTTGCCTTCCTACCCAGCTCCCCACTCCCCCCTCCCAGTGTATTTTTATCCCTTTGAAAGGGTATCTTGTACAATTTTATATATTTTATTGAAGAGTTATTTCTTATCTCTTATTCTGAATTAAATTAAACGTTTGTTTTATTGCAGTAAAGTTTGTCCTAACTCACAATTATTTTGAAAGATGCTATTCTTTGCTGGTGCCATCCATATGGGGGGAAGTACTTTAAATTATTGTTTTAATGTGTCTTGATCACCCCCTAGTTGTGGCCAAATTTGGGGGGGGTGTCAGTTAGAAATACTGAGATAGTTTGAAATGTTTTCTCTGGCAGCTCAAGGAAAAGTAGAATTGCTGTTGTTCAAACTATAGTGACAGATGAGCTTTGAAGAAGTGAGACAACGGAATCAATAGAATTTGAGTAGCTTGTGAAAACCTTGAACTTGAAATCTTGCCCAAAACAAAGCAGGGAAAAGGGACCTATCACTGTTTTCTAGTTACCATGTATTCATTAGGTTGGAGCACCTCTGCTCTTTCAGGAGTGCATCAAATCAGCTCCATTTACCATTTATGTCTTCCCAAGGAGAACCCCAAACAAAAGATCTTTTCCGTTTGAAGGGGAAAGGTGGTTCATTCAAGTCCCCCGTTGCTACCCAGTCTCCCTACCCCAGTAGAAACTAGAACTTGAGTCAGGCTTGGGTTTTGACACATCACCATAAAAATCAAAGGGCGATGGGTCCGGGAGGCTGAAAAGAATCTTAAAACTGTTTTCTGTGTTGCACAAATAAATCAGAACTGGCTTTTGACAGCACCTTTCCGAGGTCTATTTTAGAAATTGGAAGCTCCCGTGACCTTGGGAACAGAAGGGAAGCTGTCCTGTACCGCAGCAGAACTCCGTGCTGCGGTAACTGCGCCACGGGGACACTCATCTGGTCCCTTACTCGGACTGGCTCTTTTGTCCTGTCTGGAGTTTCCACTTTGCCGGTACCCAATTTGGAGGTGGGCACTGGAAACTTGTTTCTGTAGGATCGGAGCTCTTGGGGGTCGGGCCACTTGTCTCACGTGTTTCTCAGCTCCAAGGCCAGGTGTGATCCAAACCGAGGGGTCTGCGGGAAGTTGGAGGCCGATTTCTTGGCGCTCAGTTATTGCTGTCGAGGCTGAGCCGCTGGCGCGTCCCTGATCTATCCAAAAGCGCGCCTGCCCCTGTCATCCTTCTGGGCCTCTGGGACTCCAGGTCTGAATCCCAGTCCAGAATCCAGATATACATTCAAGGGCCAAAGTCCTTCCCTGTTTCGTCATCAGCCGCCAAATTGGGTCCCTAATTAGCCTGTCCACCCAGCTTCCTTCCCGGCGCCGCGCGGACCCACTAGCCCCGGGCGGTGTAAGCTGCGGACGCTGGCTCCGGGTTCAAGCTCAGCTCGCTCCAGGGAGAAAAGATCAGCGATCCAGAGTGCGATTCGAACAACCCGGGCTGCGTCTTGCGTGGCTGATGGGACAGACCGACTCGGTCTGGGTGGCTGGACACCGGCCGCACCGCCCCAGATCCGTAAGAAAAACTGAGGCTCAGAAAGGGACACGGGCCTGGGGGTGGGGGGAGGACTACATAAAGTACTCCAGTGTTACTGGGAAGAAGGGCTAACACGCGCTGGACCCGGCCAGAGACCCGTCCACCTGTGGGGCTCCTTTCCACGCTTCTGCCTAGAGTTGGGTTCAGCTGTCACTAAGGTCCTGCCAGCTGTCACCAAGGTCCAGGCCTTGGTCAGGCTTAGTCCCGCTCTTTAGAATGACAACCTGCGGCGGTTTTTCGGAGAACCCTCACTCATCCAGGACACCTGTAGATGCGCATTTGGGAATTCAAGCCCAAGAGGCCCAAGTGCCATCTTTGGGAATCCTCGTGTCGACTGCCGGAAGCCTGGCACAAAGATTCACCTGCCTGTCCACACTTCAAACGCTTTCTCCAAAACTTTCCCAAAACACAGCTCTGCCTTTTAAAAGAGCTCAAGAAAACTGGGCAAGCCACGTTGAAGGAGTTATGGTGCCTTCTAGGTTAGGAACCAGTCCTGTCTTTCGCACATGTCTTGAAACAAGATCAGAGAGGTGGATCACTGAGGTCACAGAGCTGGTAGGTGGTGGCTGGGGACTCAGGGCCCAAGGATGAGCACAGGAGATACGGCCCCGTCAGGAAGAAGGCAGGGACCATCTGGAGGGCCCAGATTTGAGGTCTGATCTGGCTCCTGTTCCCGCGAGGGGCTTGGGCCGAAGATCCCCGCTGCACTGGACCTGGGGCTCAGCCTGCCCCTCCCCCTCTCAGCTGGGTCTGGGCGATGCGGGGGCTGGGCGGCAGGAGGTGGGCAGCGAAGGCCTGGCTGAGAGCGGGCGCTGGCAAAGCGTCTGCCTGACCCGACTGAAAAGAGGATCCCTGCCTTTGAGCAGAACCTTGTCTGACCGACTGAAAACTCCCACGGCCATTCTTTGCTATAAAAGCCTCTCATTTGCCACGGGTTGGAGAGGCCATCTCCCCACCCCCACTCCCTTTCCACTGCTGGGCTGGAAATAAGCATAAACCCCATTTATAAAAGAACCCACGTCACACACACAAACCCTCCCCAAAATCACAGGGCCTGGTTGGTGAAGTCGATTGTGCCTGTTGCCTCCTTCCATGTAAGGAAAAAAAAATCTGGACTTGGTGATGTAGTAGGCCTCTTTAATGAAATAAAGTAGTCACAGCAGGGAGGAAAAGCCTCCTGTCAACCCCCAGGCCCCTCTACCCCCTTCCACCCCAGCCACCCTCTCACCTCCTCCCTCCTACAGCTAAATAAAAAGCAGTAAAATTAACTTTCCAAAATAGCCCCGCTTCAAAGCCGAGAATACTAGGCTGCGGGAATCCTGAATCCTGCCCTGATAAGGTCCGTAATAATGAAATCCAAACTCCATCCACCTCCTCTGACTCTTCCAACCTCCTCCGGACCTCTCTGCATTTGTTGATGAAAACACTTTGATGTCCTGGGTCCTCCAAACAATTATTATTATAATTCTAAACAACCTGGTATTTTCCATTACTAACGGCTCGGGCTTTGAAGTTACACCTCATAATTTCCTAAATTAAATAAATCATTTTAAGTTTGCACTGGGAGGCTTTTAATAGCAGAGAAAGGAATATCATTATCTTATTGAGCCCCAATTGTGGTGGCTCCAGTTTGGCTGTAGCTAGGGGCAAAGTAGGCTCAGTCTAACAGACATACTTTATGAACCTCCCATAACTCTTGAAAGAACATTTTTATATTTTCTTTGATTTCCCCCCTCCCTCTCTTGTTTTAAAGCTCTACCAACCTTTAATTAGTGCCTAATATGAAAAGCATTATTTTTTTAATGCTATATAATTTACCAGCGGCAACAGGCCAACTTAACAATTGTTTATTAGACTTGGTTTTTCACACAGGGCAAAGAATGCCGCTCCAAACCCAACTTTTCATGGGTGGTTGCACTAATTAATACAGTGTCTGAGGCTCCTAGGGGGTTTTTAATATTGAAGCCTATGGGGCGGAAGGGGGTTTTAGAAGTCCAGCTCCTGCCGACCACGTTCTCTCTGATTTCTTTCATGCTGTTTTGATCCTGTGTGTAGAGTCAGTACTTGACAGAAACTGTGCCCTGGCTCCAGAGACTCTGCGATCCCCGGACAACGGGCTGGGGACCACCCCACCCCCAGCACTTCCACTTGTGATTTAAGACTTTTGGGGCCAAGCTTGGCGTGTAGGGAGCCCACTCTAGACTTAGGGCTGGGGTCGCCTCTTGCCCTGCCTGGAGGA